TTAGTCACTCAGGCTCAAAACCCTGGGCTCATCCTCAGCTCCTCACTCGTATTCACTCTACATGTCCAATGTGTTGTCAAATCCCATTGTTCCTACATTGGAAATCTCTCTCATATGTATCCCTTTATTTCCTCTCACACAGCCACCACCATAGTTTGGACCCTTATCACCTCTTACCTGGATAAAACTGATTTAGCCTTCCAATTGGTTGTTCCGCCTCAAGTCTTTCCCTACTTCAATCTGCCAAAGTGACTTTCCTAAAGTTTGACCATGTTATCCCACCTGATATACTCCAGTGGCTCCTTATTACCTCCAGGATCAAACATAAAGTCCTCTGTTTAGCATTTAAAGTGCTTTATAACCCGGTTCCTTTCTATCTCTCCAGTCTTCTTATATTTTACTTCCTTCTTCACACACTCTAAGATACAGGCATACTGGCTACTTTTCTCTTTCTAGCATAAAACACTCTATCTCCCATTTGCTGTTCCCCCTCTTCACTTCTTCTTAGAATCCCTAGCTTCCTTGAGACTCCGCTCGAGGGCCATCTTTTGCAGGAAATTCACAAGCTGCTACTGCCTTTTCCTGTAAGGTTATCTTCAATCTACTCTGCATGTATTTTCATGTACCTAGTTATTTTCATGTTGTTTCTCCCACAGAATGTGAGCTCCTTGAGGCTAATGATTGTTGTGTCTTTCTTTGTATCTCAAACAATTTCTTTGTATCTGAAACAATTAGCGTAATGCCTGGCATATAGTAACTACAGCCCTTAATAATTGCTTTTTGACTGATTGACAAAAGATCTAGAATATCAAGTGAAACAATGAAGAAAGTAGGAATGAGGGGAAATAACTCAAACTGCTTTCTTCAAAGTTACTAACAATCTCTTAATTGCCAAATCTTATAGCCTTTTCTCAAGCCTCATTCTCCTTGACCTCTCTGTAGCCTTCAACACTGTGCTCATCTCTTCTCCTTGATACTCTCTTTTCTCTAGGTTTTCATGACTCTCCTTTCTCCTGGTTCTTCCTCACCTATCTGACTGATCCTTCTCAGTCTCTTTTGTTGGATCTTTATCCACATCAGTCCCACTAACTATGGGTCACCCATGGTTCTGTTCTGGATCACCTTCTCTCTCTATACCGATTCACTTGGTGATCTCATCATATTCCATGGATTCAGTTACTATCTCTATGCTGATGATTCTTAAATCTATTTATCCAGCCCTAACCTCTCTTAGGACCTCCAGTCTTGCATCTTTTAACAGCCTATTGGACATCTTTAATTAGAAGTCCCATAGACATTTTAAACTCAACAGAACTTATCATCTTTCCCTCTAAACCGTCCCCTTTTCCTAACTTCTCTATTATTGTTGAGAATACCACCATCCTTCCAGTCACCCAGTTCACAACCTAGGTATCATACTCAACTCCTCACTGTTTCTCTCACCTCCCATATCCAATTTATTTAAAAAGCCTGTTGATTTTGTCTTCTGACATTTCCCCCATTCTTGTACAGGCTCTCATCACCTTCCACCAGGACAATTTCAATAGCCTGCTGGTTGGTCTCCCTGACTCAAGGCTTTCCCTACTTCAGTCCATCCTCCATTCAGTTGCCAAAGTTATCTTCCAAAAGCATAGGTTTGATCATATCACTTCTTCATTCAGTAAACTCCAGTGGTTCCCTCTATCATCTCCAGGATCAAATATAAAATCCTATTTGGAGTTCAAAGACTTTCATAACCTTCTCCCTTATCTCCATTCTTATTATACCCTACACCTCCTACATACTCTTTGATTCACTGACTTTGGGCAATTTTATTGGCCGTTCACCCATGCCTGGTATTCTTTACCTCTTCATCGAGGCCTCTTGGCTTCCTTCAAGTTCCAGCTAAAATGGCATCTTCTACAGTCTTTCCCAATCTCTCTCACTTCCAGTGCCTTCTCTCTATTGATTATCTGCAATTCATCCTGTATGTAGCTTATTTGTACATAGTTGTTTGCATGTTCTATCTCCCCCATTTGACTGTAAGTTCCTTGAAAGCAGGGGACTGTCTTTTGCCTTTCTATGTATCCCCAGTGTTTAGCACAGTAGCAATGTTTAACAAATGTTTGCTGCCTGCCAACAGACCTCAAATTATATAAAGCACTAACCATAAAATACTACTTGGTACTGGCTAAAAAAAGTAGAAAAATACATCAGTGGAAGATTAGATAAGGAAGAGTCAAAAACAACTGAACTCAATAACCTGGTGTTTAATAAACTCAGATTGTCTGGAGGATTCCATATTTAATCCCATGAATTAATGGGAAAACTGAAAGAAACTGAAAGAAATTAGGTTTCAACTAATATCTTATTTCATATTCCACAATAAATTCAAAATGGATATGTGACCTGGCTGTTAAAGGTGATACCATAAAAAGAGTAGAGGAGAACCAGATTGGAAACCTTTCACAGTAATTGCTAGTGTGAGAATTCTAATGAAGTATAGAGACAATCACAAAAGATAAAATAGATAATTTTGATTACTTGAAATTGAAAATGTTTCCAAACAAACAAAATTAATGCAATTAAAAGAAAGGTGATTGATTGGGGAAAAAATTTTATATTAAATATTTCTGACAAAGGTCTGATAATTCAAGATGTATTGGGTCATTTGTAAAAGTCTTAGTGTAGCTTAGCTTAAAACTGCACCAAGATTTTTGGGACACTCTGTATAGGCAACTAAAATATCTAAAATAAAAAAAAAATCCCCAATAGATAAGTGGTCAAAAGATATTAACAAACTGTTCTCAAAAGAAGAATTGTAAACCATTAATAGCCATATGAAATAATGTTCCAAATGACTAACAAGAGAAATGCAAATCAAAACAACACTGAGGATTATCTCACATCCAGCAAATTGGTAAAGATAACAAAAGATAGGAAAAGTCAATGTTGAAGGGGTTGTGGAAAGACAGGCACTGTTGGTGGAGCTGTGAATAGGTTTAACCATTCTGAAAAACAATTTCAAATTATGCAAAGAAAGTAATAAAAATGTTACTTTCTGTTATTTTGACCCAGAGACTGTGCTGATAGATGTCATCATCATAATTATCACATATATATAGCACTTACTTTGTGCCAGGCACTGTGCTAAGTGCTCTACAATTATCTCATTTGATCCTTACAATAACTATGGGAAATAGTTGCTATTATTACCCCTGTTTTAAAGATAGGAAAACTGAGGCAAACAAAGGTTAAGTGACTGGCAAAGGGTAACAAAGCTAGTAAGTGTCTGAGGCTGGATTTGAACTCAGGTATTGCTGATTCCAGGTTCAGCATTCTATTGAATGCCCCATTTAACTGCCCTACCGCCACTGGACCCCCCCCCCCCCCCCCCCCCCGGCCAATTCCCTTAGGCATTGACCAGACAGGTCAATGACAAAAAGAAAGGTTCCATCTATACTAAAATATTTATAGCATCACTTTTTGTAGTAGCAATGAACTGGAAATGAAATAGCTATCCATTGACTGGGGAACAGCCAAATAAATTGTGGTTCTGGAATGTAGTGGAATATTATGAGAAATGATGAATATGATGAATACAAAGAAGCATGGAAAGAAAGACTCATGTGAATTGATGCAAAGTAAGCAGAAGCAGCAAAATAATACACATAGTGATTATAACAACTGAAACCAAACACTGGGAAATTATAATGGCCAAATGCAGCCCCAAAGAAGAGCTATGGGAAAGCAGCTCAGCCTTGCTTTGTAGAGATTTGGGGGCTTTGGGCATGGAACACCACACACAATGTTAGACTTTTCAATATGTTAGTTCTGCTGAACTGTTTTTCCCCTCTTTTAAAATTTTTTACTCTCTGAACATTGGGGGAGGGATTTGTTAAGAAATGTAGGTGAAGCAAAAATGAAATATATCAATAAAATAAAAAAAAACCATTAGTACTTATACACCTGTGATGTAGCTAATACAATGTTATTGCCATTCTGCAGATGAAGAAAATGATGCTCACAGAGGCTAAATGATTTGCCAAAAAAAAGTCATGAAATTAGGAATACAGTCAGGTTTCTTGACTCCAAATCCTGTGCTCTTTCCACTACAAATGGAAGAATTGACTTAATATTATCTCTTTCTTACAGATTCAAATTTTCACTAAAATCCTATACTACTCTCTCATCAGGGCATGCAGGTGAGTCATCCTGGGTTCTCAAAGCCTCTGTCAGGGAGCACAAGCTCTGACAGGTTCGACCAAGCCAGAAAGGTTACCTGTTGGATGACTCATGAGTTGAGAGATGCTGGGCATCTGGGTGATTTCTTTTTTTTAACCATACAAACTCATTAAAAAAGAGTTATGATTAAATTTGATTCAAGAAACACTAACTGCCTGCTCTGAAACAAATTAAAATGTTTTGATAGGTCCTTACCCTCACACCATTGAAACTGAAGATCTTTCAAAATACTGATGGAAGACACAAGAAAAAACTGAGGATCAGCAAAATTAAATCACATTGCTTCTGGTCATTTTTAATCTCAGTGCTTTTGACTTGATAGGGTCAGGGACTGCACCTGTATAGGGAATTCCTGGACGAGAAAACTCCCCCTCCCTAGGTCAGTATCTTACAACTTACTGTTGTACTGCCTAGGACACTAAGCGGTTAAGTGACTTGCTCGGTCCTACATGCAGTATGTGTCACAGGCAGACCTTGAACTCAGTTTTTCTGGGCTCCAAGACCAGCTTCCTACCCACTACACCACACTGCTTCTTCTTCTACTTGATATTAGTGATTTTGTGGGACTAGGATATGACCCCAGAAAACTTACTGGTTCTTTTTCCCTGGCAAATAAGCAAAAGGGTGATAAACTGATAAAGGGCATGTAGCTTCCCAATAAGAACAAACTAAAAGGTAATGGAAAGTCAAGGTTTTCAGAAGACTAGACCAGGATGACTCACTGGCCTGGAATGTGCCTGAAGACTTTTCTGTTTCCATATAAGTCAGTGGGTTACCTTTGCTGATTCCGGTGTCTGCCTTTGGCTTCAATCCAGGTTGCTGAGGCTTCTGGTTGGATGCAGCAGTCTGAACCAGCTACCAGAAGGAGAGCAGTTCAATGCTGATTTGTAGCTGGACACCTATTGTTGGGGGAGAGAACAAAGAATGAAAATGGTGAAAAGTGTGATCCTCTGAACATTCCTTGGGTCAGGCCCCACCTGGTTAAACCTAAGAGTATTCTAAGTATTCTAAGCTTCAAATCAGGTTATGTAGTCACAGAATTACACAACATGAGCTGAAAGGGACTTTCTAATTCCATCCAAATATTTTACAGACAAGTAAATGGAGGTGTGGGGAAGGCTTGACCAAAGTCACACAGCTAATAAATGAGACAGGATTTGAATCCAAGTCTTATGACTCCAATTTAATTCTCTTTGCACTAGAACTTGCCAGAATATACAGTGCCAAGAGAGGAGCTTCCTCCTCTGAAGGAGTTACCCATTTCCTATCAACCTCGGGGAACTGAAAGAGTGAGAATCCAGTCTACTATGGGTTCCTGGGATTTAGCACTTAAAAGAGACCTTAAAGATTTGGCTCACCCGCTCCTCCAAAATTAGATGAGAAAGCTTGAGGCCTAGAAAAAGTGACATGTTCAAGATCATGTCTTACAGATAGGCAGGCTGAAACCCAAGTCGTTTGATTGCATGTTCTGAGTCCTTTTCTTTCTGACCTTGCTGTCTCCTATGTCTTAAAAACTGCTACAGGGAGGCTTGCTGGATTATTTTCTAGTTGGGGCCAATTCTTGCTATTATGGCCCCAGGCAGGGCTGTCCAGGTAGGAAAAACTAAGTTTCATTCCATCACATGCAACAATCATCTCTTAGACAAAATTTCCTCATCTTGGCCTCAGGAGGCTTCCAGTTGTACTGGGGAATACTAGTATGTAGGCAGATGGATATATTTTAAAAATATGTATGCATGTGTGTATATATATGTATATACACACATGCATGCATACCTACATACATATGGAGGGGTAGCTAGGTGGCTTAGTGAATAGAGTACCGGGTATGGAGTCAGGAAGTCATGTTCCTGAATTAAAATCTGGGCTCAGACACTTGCTAGTTGTGTGACCCTGGACAAGTCACTTAACCCTGTTTGCCTCCTCATCTGTAAAATGAGCTGGAGAAGGAAATGGCAAACCCTTCCGGTATTTTGCCCAGAAAACTCCAAATTGGGTCACAGGGTCGGACGGAACAACAAATTATATATATGCATATGATTACGTGCGGGAGACAGGGGCCATGCAGCTTCCCCTTCCCGCCCCGCCCCCTAAGCCTGTAGAGACGGGGAGGCCTCAAGGGCTTCCCCTCACCACCAGGCCCGCCTCTCCCTCTGCGGCCTAGTGAGCGCCACACTCCCCCGAGTCCCTTCAGCCCGCCAGGCCAGCCCGCTCCTATCCTCCTGGGGCAGGTCTCTGGGTCAGAAGAACATCCCCGCGCCGGGGGTCCGGGGGTCTGGAGATGCCCATCTATTATTCCCGCACCTGGGTTCCCCCACCCGCCATATTGGCTCCCCCTTCGCCTCGTCCCACCCTCCTGTCACTCAACCGCTCCTTCCAACGCCCCTAATAACCGTCGCTTCCTTTGGTTTCCATAGGGAAGCGTGGGAGGTGAGGCAAGGCTAGAACTTACTCTCTCTCCTGATTGGCTGCGAGGGCTGTCCCCTCTCTGGTCCTACCAACCCTCAGCGGCCGCCGGTTCCACAAGTTCATTGGTCCGCCGTGTGGCGCGAGGAGATAGCCGACTGGGGTCCCCCGAAACCTCTCGCCTAGGGGCTAGGTCAAAGGTGGGAGAGCTTTCCTCCTCCCCTCCCCCATGTCTCTTCCCACTCGGCGCTGATTGGCCGGCGGGGCGCGCACACGAGGTGGGAGGGGGAGGGGCAGGGGGCTGGTGGGCGGGCGTCGTTGGTCGCCTAGGCCGGGCGTGAGCCGTGGAGTGAGGCGCTCGGCAGTGGTTGTCGCGAGCTGGGAAGCGGCAGCGGCCCGTGGGTGAGAGGGAGCCATGAAGCACTATGAGGTAAGGAGAAACAGACCCATCTTCTTTGGGGGGGGAGGGCAAGGAGATGGGGAGGGGCGCCACAAGCGTCACGGAGATTCTCCTTAGGATCGAGGAGACCCTTGCCCCCCCCACAAAATCCCCAATAAAAAACCAAAACTCGGCGCAAACCTTAAATAGCCCCATGACCCCAAACCCCAAACAGCCCTATGCCCTGAGGCTGAGGGAGACACGCAGGCGCAGTTGCCGCACGCACTGCCTACGGCTCCTGCTAGGTCTTAGTGCGCATGTTCAGGGAGGTGGGGGGGCGGTATTTATGACCTGGAAATCGAGCCAGAGTTGGAGGAGGGTCAGGGGTGAAGGGTCCCAATGCAGGTTGTTTGGTTGCTGTTGGTGTGCAAGAAGCAGGTTTTAGTTCTCCGAGCTGGGGAGGTCCTAGTAAGGAAGGAGACGCTGAGGCCCAGAGAAAGGAAATGACTTGCCCCAGGTCACACTGCTAATGAGTGACGAGCTTGGGGTTTGGGTCTAGGTGTCCTAAACCCGCTTTCCTCTGTACCATTGCATCTCTGGCTCATCTCAGGCACCGAGTTGATCAGTATCTGTGGATTGATCCTATTCCTGGTTAGGAGAAAGTAGCAGTCTCCAGATCCTGGTGGGGGAGTGGGAGGGAGGAGAACTTGCACCAACCTAGCTGCACCTTGTTCTGTCCTGCAGGAAGGGGCTTCCTTGTCAACTTTCACCTGTTTGACCTTTGTACGCCTTTTATTTACTCCTACCCCTGAGCTGTGTCCTGTGCACTTTGCTGTAAACTTCTTAGGGAGGGGGACGGTGATAGCAGAGTCTTGCCAATGGCATCTCCAGACTTGTCCCGGCTGATCATTACAGTTGATAAACCTTCCTAGTGATCTTCAAATCTCAGGATGTCAGCCAGGCCAATCTGCCCATTTCAAGACTGGCAAAAATGAGGCCCCTAGTGGAAAGTAGTTTGTCTTAGGTCAGTGGCAAAGTCCAGGCTGGAGCTTGGGTCCCAGCAGGCTGAAGTTACTATAAGTGAAGCCATCAAGACTTAGACCTTTCCCAGTTCATATGATCATGGGTTTTAAAGCATGAAGGGACCTTAGAGATTGTCTAATCTAATTCCCTCATTTTATGGGAAACTGAAGCCCAAGTTCGAACAGGTATTAAGTACCAGAACTGAATTCAAATTTTTCAGGTTTCTTTTGTGAACTACATACACTGCCTCTTGATTCCTTAGTCTAGGACTTCTAACATTATGTGTTTGTCATCATTATGTCATGGATTTAGAGTTGGGAGAGACCTTAGAGGTCATCCAGTTTAACCTCTTTTCATTTTACAGATGAAGAAACTGAACCTGAGAGAGATTAAGTTACACAATTAGTAAGTCTGAGGCAGGATTTGAACCTGAGTCTTTCTGATTCCAAGTCCAGTACTATATCCACTATACTTTGCCTTTATTTTTTGGGAGATGTAATGTCTGCTATCCTTTCCCTTTTAAAAGAGTTTTATGAGAATTCCTCCTCTAGGTCCTTAACCGTTTTTAATTCATTGGTAAGATTAAAGGCAGCTAGGTGGTAAAGTGAATAGAGTACCAGGAGTCAGGAATACCAGAGTTCAAATCCAGCCTTAGATATTTATTAGGTTATGTGAGCCTGGGTAAGTTACTTAACTCTGTTTCTCTCAGTTTCTTCATCTGTAAAATGAGCTGGAGAAGGAAATGGCAAACCACTCCAGTATCTCTGCCAAGGAAACCCCAAATGAGGTCACAAAGAATTGGACACAACTGAAACAACTGAACAACAAGATTAAGGGGGGTTGGATCAGATCTCAAAGTTCGCTTAACTTTATGATTGTTATGTCTTCCTAAAATAGTCTCCTTCTCCTTTTCCTTGCCCTTGTAACATTTGTAAAAAAAGTAAAGTTTGATTTGACATGTAGAATTCATCATATATGCTAAAGTTAATTAGGCTGCTTTTGGATTTTGTTGTGTTTAATACCATTCCCCTGCATAGAGTATATCACACAGAAGACTTTGCACTCACCTGCAAATAACTCCCATTTCTGTCTTCTAACAATGAGAGATCACTTGGTTCCTTTTAAGAAAGATGTAGCTTTGTACTCATTGTTGAGAATGACTGAAGCTTGACAGGACCTGGGGAGGAATGTATCATTATTTGTTGATAATTCATCAACATCTGCGAATGTATTGTTGCCTACTGAGAGGGGATAGCACTCGTAGGTTCTGTAGTTTATAGAGGAGACTGTGAGTCACCAACTCCTCAAGTTGACAACTACAGAACCAGTTAGAGCTAGGCTTTCTCAGACAGATTTGCCTGTGGAACAATTTGGGGTCAGCTCTTGTTGGAATTCATAAATCCAAAGGATCATAGCAGAGAGGAAAATGCAGCTTTTAAAGCCACTCAAAGTTGTTAAAGTTGGGTGGACTCTTAGAAGCTTCCCCTTATTTTACAGTTGAGGAAACTGCAAGCCCAAGACGTTAAGTAACTCCTAAGGTTATACAGCTAGTAAGAGACTGAGCTGGGAAGAGCACCCAGGTCCTCTGACTTTAATCCTTCATTTTGTCTACCATGTCTACCATTTATTCCTGGGATAAAGCAGAGAGTGAGGAAATTTTGTAGCAAAGTAGGGGAAAGTAAGCCTATTTTCATACAGAAAAATTGCTTCAAAAAATAAATATTTTTTTACCCAACTTAATTATTTCTAGTGCTTAACAGAGCAGGAATTTAATAAACGCTTGTTGAAGGATTGACTTTCTGTGAAAGTATTACTCTTGACAGCTCATTATGGGGTGAATATAATGCCATGAGGTGACTGGAGACCATGTTATGGGAGAATCTTTTGAAGGGACTGGGGATGTCTATCCTGGAGAAGAGGCGAGAAGACTTAACTAGGGGCACGCCTTCTTCAAATTATAGAAGGCTGTTGTATGGAAGAGTGATTGGACTTGTGGTGCTTGGTTTCCAGAGGGCAGAACTAGCAGAGATAGGGAGACCTTTCTGAGAGGTAGATTTCATCTCTTTAACAGAGAGGTTGAAAAATAATATGGATCACCTTTGGCAGTAATGGTTAATGTCTGATCACAGTTTGGAAAATGATGGTTCAGGTCAGCCTCTTCATTTTATATATGAAGAAACTGGGGCCCAAAGAGTGACTTGCCCAGGGTCCCATGACTAGTTATTAGGAGTGCCAGAACTAGACCCAAGTTTCCTAATCCCAGTGTGCTTTCCATTATATCTTGCTGTTTATGGTGGCTAAAAACTAGTATGGACACCTATTGCTGCCTTGAATTGTTCAGTAATATAAACCAAATATTAGAGAGCCAGCCTTGTGTGGTGGAAAGAGTGCTTTATTTGGAGCCAGGAGATCCTGTGTTCATGTTGCCAGTTTTGACAGTAGCTATGTGACCTGTGAGCCTCAGAATCCTTTTTTCTAGAATAGGGGCTGATAATACCTGAACCGTCTAACTTATGGTTGTTTTGAGAAAAATGTTTTGTAAACTTTGAAGTGCTGTATAAATATGTCCTCTTCCCCGTTTTACTTTTGATTATTTTTGATTATTATTTTGATTATTATTGCATAACAAAAAATGTGGACTAGATTGGGACATGCTTTGTTCTTTGTGTATATCTCCTTGAGAGTGAACTCCCTGGGTTTAGAGTCACTTTAGGATAAAAATATAGAGTGAAATTGTTAAAGTTTTTCATACTGAAAAAAATTGGCTTTAAAAAATTGCTTTTCCCCTCTACAGATGGAGAACAAAACTCTTTCTAGTAACTGGATAAATAGCTTGCCATGTCTTGTCAGTAAGCCCATGACCATCTCTAAACAATTTTGGGAAGCTCAGCCCCTCTCTACTTTCTTTAGTCCAAACTATAGATTGTCTTTCCCTGCTGCTTTTCACAGCAGGGGGCAGCTAGGTGGTGCAGTGGATAGAGTATCAGGCCTGGAGTCAGTTCAAATGTGGCCTCAGACACTTATTCGCTGTGTGACCCTGGGTAAGTCACTTAATCCTGTTTGCCTCAGTTCTTCATCTGTAAAATGAGCTGGAGAAGGAAATGGCAAACCACTCCAGTATCTTTGCCCAAAAAAAATCCCAAATGGGTTCATGAAGAGTTGGACATGACTGAAACAACTGAACACACAGGTTTTTATCACCTAAAGTTGAAAAGGTACCATATTATTTTGGGTTTCCACATATTTCATATCTCCCACCCTCCAATCCTTACTAAACTGTAAGGGCTTTTCAAATTGTGTCACAGATTCTTGTCCATTTAGCAGGAGGAGCCTGTTTCTGTAATAACCCTTCAAAGCTCTTGCTGGGAGGAAGCAGAGATTCAACCAGAATTTTACTCGAGTCCCTTTTTATTTTCCTTTTTCTTTTTAAAGTTAAAGTTTTATTGTTGCTTTTTGATCTTACATAAATCATTTCTGAGGGAAAAAACAGAAACTTCTCCTCCCGTCTGTTTTGAACTTCACACCCCCCCTCTTCCCCCCAGTAAAACTATCTGATATAGTGGTCCACCTGATGTGTGCAACAGACTGTTTGATTCTCTGCCATTGAGAAGAAATCTTTCTTTCTATCTTGAGGATTATTAGTCTTGAAGCTACAGGTTTAGCCCCTCAATCTCTCCCTGGCTGTAGGCACTTGGAGTTCCATTTAGCCTAGGAGGAAACTGGGGCCCAGAGAAAGCAAGTGACATGCCCAACTCACACAGAGCAGGCATCTTTGGGGCCTTTTGGACAGATGGCAAATTGTAGAGGATTATAGTGTTGAGTCAGGAAGAAGGAGGGATCAGGGTCTGCTGCTTTGTGATGTGGCCGTGGAGCAAGTCCCTTCCATTCTCAGGGCCTCAGAGTCGTCTCCCAATGAAGGAGTTGGCTCATACAACCTCTAAAGCCCTTCCTTTTCTAAGAAGCTCCCTGTTCTATGAACAGTGGGTGTGGTGTGTGCCACAGGCCCTCTTTGGGGTTGGGTTGGTTTG